TGTGTGTGTGTGTGTGTGTGTGTGTGTGTGTGTGTGTGTGTGTGTGTTGTATTTTGTTTTATTTTTTTCTGAATGTCATGCCACAGTCCAGAAACATGCATGTGTTAATTAGTTTACCTATGATGACACCGCCTGTGTGAGGTGCAATCTATGTCTCACTTTTTGAACGTCCTCAACTCTTCTCCAACCCTGAGATAATTAAGAATGAGGAGGTTGGATCTGAATTAATCTTGATAGTTCAAAATTGTAGCTTTTCTTCTTAGTGAACAGCCCTCTTTCATCCTAAAGCTTTACTCTGCAGTATTCTCATTTTGTTCTTTTATGAATGTCTAACATGTGGAACTATAGTACTGAAAATGAAGGGGTTATTAGGAACAACAATGATTCAAACCATATGTAACAACTAAAATTGCTTCTTAAGAAACACTCCCTTATGATTACCCAAGATTAACCAACAATACTGTCTATTTTCTGTTTTGCAAATAAAAAGCTTTTCTGTGCTGGAAAGCTGCAGACTAAATAGAAGGACTAACACCAGACCAAACATAGAATAAATCTTGAAAGAGGAAACTATATTTGTGCAACTTTCTGTTCAAGGTTGACTTTCAGCCTCTGTAAGCATTAAAGTGGGGACAAACAAAAAAGTTGAAAGTGGATGTAGACCACAATTATGTAGCGAGACAGCTCAAACTAATCTGTATTATTCAAGGAATGCTGGGTCTTTAATACCATCTGTATGAATTCCAATAAATAAATTTACACTTGCATTAAAATGGACAGAATTGTAACAATGACTTCTTACCAATTATTGCCCCTACAGAGCACCACGTTTCATTTTGAGTTTTGGGTCAGACACACGTCCCAGGCCACATTTTTGCAGATGGTGATTAAATCTTTAATTGTCAAGGGCAGGAAGGGCTGTAGGGGAGGGAGAGCAAAAGCTGGCAAACAGATTTTTAATTACCATCCACTAAATTAAGACACCCCAACTCAGTCTTCTGACTCCAGCTGATCAATTTATCCCTTCTTCTCCCCCTTCCTCCCCAAACTCAAATGCCCCTTGGCTCTGATTGTATTACTCATTCAGAAAAATCATCAGTCATTTTCAGTCAAGATTACAACATGGCCACATGTCATAACAGAAGAGTTGGCAAATAAGCCAACATCTAAATTTACAAGATCCTCAGATTTTTTTTTTTAATTCTACAAAATAAAACAGTTGTATGGAATATAATTAATCATAGGTAATTCAGGAATGTTGCCTCACAAATGTGAAATGCACAAGGCTGTGGCGGAGTGGTTAGG